GGATGGATGGATGGATGGATGGATGGATGGATGGATGGATGGATGGATGGATGGATGGATGGACAAAAGTATTTCTCTCCTTGTGTAGAATGGTGCATTTCAGAATCCACATGCATGGTTCCCACCGTGGGCTCTTGTAGCGACATGGCATCCGGTTTAGTTTAGTTGGATCATCATTTTGTTTCAATAGGATAATGACCCCAAACACACCTCCAGGTTGTGTAAAGGCTATTTGACCAAGAAGGAGAGTGATGAAGTGCTGTGCCAAATGGCCTGGCCTCCACAGTCACCTGACCTAAACTCAATCAGATGGTTTGGGATGAGGGTGGTTATTTCAAAGAATCTAAAATCTTTAAAATATGTTTTGAGTTATTTCAAACTTTTTTGTTTTCTACACAATTGTGTATGTGTTCATTCATACTTTTGATGCCTTCAGTGAGAATCTACAAAGCAAATAGTCATTAAATAAAGAAAAACCATTAGGTGAGAAGGTGTGTCGAAACTTTTGAGTGGTAGTGTTTATCACAATGCTCCTATGGGGAAGCAAATGCCATTTTCCTTCCATATAAGTAGTAAGAGTGAAGAAACTGTCATGCATTAAAAAGCATAGTGGCCAATGTTTATTTCAGAGTTTTGGTGAATTCAACAGTTTGGTGTCACAGTGCAGCCACACGGAGTCACACTGTGGTTGCAAACATCAAATGCTGCATGTATGTCAGAGATCTTTAGATGAATTGCATGCTGACCAGGGAGCACTCTGGGCTCCTTCACAAGACCAGCTATGTAACCGTGAAGAAATGATCATAAAGTGGTGTGCTTGGCTGTCATGCATGTAGAAGCCAGTTGGTGAAACTTTGGACCCAGATCTTCCAGTGCGTCCTGAAATGAACCCTCTTCAGAAATACTGATTGCTTCCAGCTCTGAGGTGGTGTCTGAGTTCCCCTCCACTGCATAGATGTGAAGCTCATCATCCAGTGAGTCCCCTTTTTTCTCCTGGAACAATGTTAGCTTCTGTAAAAGGTGGAACATGTCAAAGGCAAATATGCCTACAGTGATTTTTTTTAATAGTACAAGCTCATACATCTTTAAAAACGCAACATAGGAGATGTGACATACTTAAGACTACCAACCTGATGAAGCTTCATGTCATTAGACTCCGTAGCACAGCTCAAGTTTTGTGATTGGAGGATGCTCATATTGCCCATGTCTTCAAACTGCACACAAAAAGTTCACACATTTCTTCATCTCTGACTTCAAAGTAAAAATTACAAACACAAATGTCTGCTGTTCTACCTGATTGCTGCTGTCACAGGCAGAGGTCCAGTTTGACTGAAATTTGAAGAACACAAAGATATAGTTATTATTTTAAGATCCATTTGTAAGACATCCTCAATTTTCAGTGCGTGTTTACAACCTGGTTCCCAGTGTAGCTGGAACGGTGGGACAGGCTTTCTCTTCTTAAATTCTCATGTGGTGAGTGGATGAAGCTCTGCTTCATTTCATGTTGAAAAGGATGACAACACCAGGAGTTGAACTATAGAGGATTCTGTTTATCACACTCTCAAGGGATGCTTCACAAAAGTACATGCTCTATGGAAGAATGACCTACCCTAGGTTGTGAGTTTAAGCTGTGAAAACTGCCAAAAGTCACCCTTGCTGAATGTCGTCCATTTCTCCGCCCATTCAGTGGAATATGGAAATTAGATTGATTATATTGCTCCATACAAACTGGTTTTTCGATAATAGTGGCAGGAATCTAAAGAAAAAGAAATGGTTTAATGATATTTGCCTTAAAATGGGTCATTGGCATGGATGCAAATGCTTCTAAACAGTGACCTCGCAGTTGTCTCCTGGTGCCTCAGTGTTTGATTGGAGGAGGATTCCTCCTGAACAATCTTCAGACTCCATAGTAAAAAACTCTCTTTTGGATGAGATGCTGAGAGCCAGCAGCAGCAGAACTGTCAAAGAGTAAAATAAAACTTATGCTGGGTTCTTAGAGATGTTAGCACACATATCACAGTTCTCCTACACTAAAGTAAACAGTGTGTTTCTTACACAGAAGTAAAAGTGAAGAAATGATCATGAATAAAGCATAAGGGCCAATGTTTATTTCAGATTTCTGGCGAATTCCACAGTTTGGTGTCACAGTGCAGCCACATGCAGTCACACTGAGGTTGTAAACTTTAAATGCTCCCTGCATGTCGGAGATCTTTAGATGAATTGTGTGTTGACCAGGGTACACACCGGGCTCCTTCACCAGACCAGCTGTGTAACCTTGAAGAAAAGATCACAAAATGATAGGATACTTTAGGAGTTCTGGCTGTTGTGCTTGTTTTTCTGTAATATGTCACTAAATACATGAAGGATGTTTCTACCATAACCAGGATTCAGTCTCCATTTTCCTTCAACATTTCCCAACAGTTCAAAAGTGAAAGGCCCTCCATAAGGTTCTTCATCTGGGTCAAAGGCCTCGATGTTGGTGGTTGTGGGGGCATCAGACACACACACATCCAGGCTGTCCACTGTTAGCTGTGGCACATTGTCATTCTGGTCCCACACATGGATATGTAGTGTAGCTGTTCCTGTCATTGGTGGTATACCTGTCCAAGATGCAAGAAATGTAGTAAAAAAAAAGCTGTTTGTGTTTTAAAAGTCAGAGTGTGTGTTTACCTTTGTCAACTGCATACACTAAGATGGTGTAGGTGCCGTTAACAACGTGTGGAGATTCTCTGTCGGGCGTCTTTATCATTGTGATGATTCCTGTGAGGGGATCCACCGTCACCCAGCCAGCAGGATCATTTCCTACCTTGTACCTGTGGACAGATTCAGCGCACTTAGACAGAACTGAACAGCTTCAGATCAACGTTCAGTTGATGTTAATTACAATTTTTCTCAGTCAATTTGGTGCAATTATTAAAGCAGAACAGTAACTTTCACTTCTCTTTTTTTTCCAGGTATTTGCAGCAACACAAGGACCATGTCAGGCAAGTCCTGCAGCCCAAGACAGAAAATAAACTTTTTGTCAAAGCAGAAAAGTGACTTTAAAAAGCCCGACTCCCTCTCACACTAGTTTGTGCTAGAGACCAGCAGAGCACAGCACGTCAATGTCTGCGACAATTCTGCCTCCCTCTTGCGTAGTAGTGGGAATGTTGACTTGGGAAATAATGGACCAGGTAAAGTGAGCCCATCTTAGCGAGCCTGATCCTGGCACAGATCTGCCCAATCGCACCTTTGTTCCACCAGCTGGTAGGTCCCAGGTTTTACAAGAGTTTTATATTGAAGCAGACCTTTTGGTGGCCCACCTTAAATAAGGATGCTCGCAAATTCCTCTTATCCTGCTCGGTTTAACCCACGGTAAATCCCACTCTCAGCCTCCTGCCTCCCCGCCTGCTCCCATTGCCCTTGACTGGCCACCCCTGGCCTCATATCGTGGTAGATATCATTAATGGTTTATCCCCCTCTGAGGGCAACACCAGCATTCTAACCATGATTGGTAGTCTAAAGCAGCCCACTTCATAGAACGTCTGAAGCTTCCCTACACCTCTGAGACTGCACAGTTAACAAACGTTAACCACGTTTTCCGTCTTTATGGTTTTCCAGCTCACATTTTTTTTTGACAATGTGCCAACTTTTTTAAAGCGCTAGGGGCAAAATTCAGATAAACCTTAAGACTGCCCTCCTGTGTGTCACATCTCAAAATCCTGCGTCCTGGAGCTCTCAGGTCATTTGGGTCAAGTACGCACACAGCACGCTCACTTCCTCTGCCATGAGGCTGTTGCCATTTGAAGTGTCTTTAGGTTATCAGCTGCCTTTTTCCCCCAACACTTGGGAAGGAGATGGTGGTCCCATTCCTGATTTTTTGAGAGTTTAGATAATGACGTTTCTCATGTGAGAATTGCACCAAATTAATTGAGAAACTGTAAAACCATCCCTTACAGAAAGTCTTTTGCACGACTGGAGTCAGGATCCACAGCCGTCACTTTATCAACCCAGGTTCCAGCCGGTACGTTCTCCATCACCGCGACCTCGTTCAGGGTCACGCTGAATTTAGGAGGGTCGTTGGCATCCTCCACATCAATGGTGACTTTTACAGACTGAGGTTCAGCTGCACCAGAGGGATCATGGCCTTTAATGGTGTCAACTTTCCAGAGGCCTGAGGACGTCCTCTCTTTTACTTTACAGGGGTAATACGGCGCCTCGTTTTCCACTGAGATCAGCAGCTCCCTCTGCGCCCCATTCTCAAAGTCTAAAGGCTGAAATTAACAGTTGTTAAAAAAAATCAGTAAATTTTTCTTTGTGAAATCCAAAAAATATTGTCAGCATCATTATATAAGAGTATAATCTTTGTTAGCCCAAAAAGCAGGTTTGACAACTATGTATTAATTACAGAGACGTTGAGAAAGTAATTACAGAGAAACTGGGTGTCACTGTAATGTATGGCATGTAGTCAAACACCACTTACTTCAACTACTGTCAGGATCCCATCATTAGTCTCTAAGTCTGTTAGTATCTTGAAGTTCTCTCCTTCATCACCATGTATGGTGTATCTGGCTCTCCATCCCGAGGTGTTTGGGGTGTCTTTGTCTGTCACATGCAGCCTCAGAGGAGAGACCCCAGTCTCAAGCTCCTTCACTTTACCAGTGCCCTGTGGTTTGAATACAGAGTGTATAAACCTGTAGAAGAACTTTCCAGTGATAGTTCACAATTTTGAAATATATACATTTGCCCTTCTTTATCTTTGCTGATGTTATTATTTATGCAGTCATAGAGTCAGTGTGGTCTATTAACAATGGTTATAGTCCTGGTAACAAATAATCATTTTATAAAATAATTACTTGGTGGTTACATGAAGTAGGGTTAATAAGAAGAAGCTCTCTGAGCATTTTTTATTTTTAAGAGAATAGTATTATGTCTTATATATATTCATTTTGTTTTCTTTGTTCTTATTAAATGTACTAGTAGAAATTTGTACTGCAGCAAAATGAGCCATGGCTGCTTTTATCTGCAGAGTGATCGCAAGAATACTGAAAAGTTAATGTCTTAAGAATCTCACGGTTAGTTAGCAACAATGAAGAAAAACAATGAACCTGAACTCTCGCCTTATACATATGGAGTCACTTGTTATCAACATTTAAATGAAATAAATACTGCTAATAATGTCAGACTTTTGACACCATCTGGTGAGATCAATAGATAGGCAGCGTACTGGCTGGTTGCCTCAATACCTGAGCGCCTTAAACACTACAGGTAATATGTGACAAACGACTGCTTAGGCAGCACTCGAGCGCCTCTAACTATAATAATAACGTCTAATTGTCACATAAGCGAAGATAAGTCAGATAAGGTTAGCAAGACAGATGTTTACTTTGATTACACCAAAATTATGTAGGAGTAGGTAGAAACAGATCCCAACCCTCCCCTGTCTGCATTGGTAGGACTAATGTTGAAGCAGTCACATCCTGCAAGTATCTGGGAGTTTAACTGGATCACAAGCTGGAGTGGTCTGCCAACAGATTCTTCAATGTATGCAGCAGGCTGCTCTATATGTTTAATCAGTCTGCTGTTGCGAGCACCATTTTCTTTGCTGTGGCACGCTGGGGTGCAGGTACCAAAGCAAAGAAAAAACTCAGGAAGGTAGAGTCTGTTGTTGGAATGAAGCTCGCCACCCTGGAGGAGGAGATCAGTGACAGAATGCTGGTAAGTCTGCTGGCAATCACGGACAATGACTCCCACCCCCACACTGGACAATCTAAAGAGCAGTTTCAACAATAGGTTCCTTCAACCTCGCTGTCTGAGGGAACGTTACAGCAGCTCGTTCCTTCCCACTGCTATCAGCTTGTGTAATTCATCCACTTAGGTCAGATTCACACATGTGGAACAGAATTCATCACACCTCAATGCACCCCTGTCACATTTGTACAACATGACGTATTTGTACACATACTTGTCCTTTTATATTTATAATTATATTTATACCTATATCCCTGTATTTATCTTAATATGTATCAGTCATAACTCTTTTTCTACACTCATTTTATATGAGTGCTTGTTTCTTATTGTATATTTGCTGCTATGACAACTCAGTTTCCCTCTGGGATTAATAAAGTTTCTCTGATTCTAATGGATAATAGGGACTGATTTGTAAATTATTGGAGATGAATAACTCGAGCTTATTATATAATATTACACTACAGTATATTTCTGACTAACTAGGCAGCTCATTCGCTTTCTCTGGACAATACTTTGTTTAAAGATAGAACACAGTTCAGGGTTAACGTGAATGAAAACCACATGTGAATTTTATTGTCCCTTCTGTTCTCCCCAGCTCTTTGCTGAGGTTTGTTTTCTTTCTCTTTCACTCTCCCTCCTCTTGCTTTCTGTTTGTTTTTTTGTTTTTTTCATATTACAGTGTGGTACTCATTGTGGCTTCCCACCTTAGGCTACATGCACCTGCCTGAAATGAGCTTACCTGTGACTCATGTGCTCACCTGGCAGTCTTCACTAGATCGTTGCACTCTCTAGTTAGTGAAGCTCTGACTTTTGCTCCTGTTGTTTTCACCTCTCAATGCACTTTTCACTGTGCAGACCTTCACTTTCCCCTGGACCCCCATTTCCCAATCACACATTTGTATATAGCACTTTGTGGTTATTTCACTGTAAATAAACATGAACTAACTCCAGTTTATTCCAGTGAACATGACAGTGAGGTCAGAGGTCAATTGTGACATGATATTTAGATACAAACTAAGATGTGATATTCAGGATACAGATATACCAATATCATTTCCTAAAACACAGGAAAATTTTAATCTAAATAATTTTTGTTTGAAAGATAAAAGACCTTCTATAAAGGTCTGACCTCATTTGCCCTTGAAAAAAGGCCAGAGATCCAAAGTAATGTGAAAATTACAAAATAATGTTCCCTATATGCCGTCAGAACAAAGAATGGCAGTAAGAAACAGTTCTAAATACCTCTGTGTAGCAGGATTGTCATTGTGACCTTTAGGTCACTCAACTGACCTTGAAGACGAGGTCAGAGGTTTAACACAGTGTAATATTTTAAATCTTTATAAGGTCCGTTCTACATGTTGTTAACATGACCCCACACCCTACAAAGATTTATAAGAATTCATTCAAAACTTTTCAAACTATCAGAATGTAAGAATGTGAGCAGTACCAAAAACATAACCTCCATGGCAGATGTAACAAGGTAACTACATCAATTTATTAGGCCTTAAACAGATTGTGATGCAACATAAATATGATTTATTGTTAATTTATCCCTTTTTTAACCTTTGATTTTTTGAGCTTATCCTGTTAAGGTGGTTCATCAAAAATTAAAGTTTCACTTGATAGTTCTGTATACACTACACATCAGTATCAGGTTACAGGTGTGAAACTGCTGAAACTGGTGCTGTTTGGAGTTTGCAACACCAACTGACTGCCTACCGTTTGACCGCTGATGACTGGAAGGTGGTTGTTGCCATTCCCTACATGAATGACAACAATGGTTGAACTGGACAGTTTGACTACTTCACCGTGGTCTTTGGCCTCCACCACTATTGTAAACTTTTCAGCCACCTTAATACAAGCAAATGGAGAGTTTCACATTAACAGACTAAAAGAAGAATAAAGAATTAATACTATTCTCTATATTTCCTCCCAAAGGAGTTGGACCACTTGTCACCAAATGTAGCTTACTGGCAATTTTATGTAGTACAGGATTATAGTATTAAAGTATTCATACTAGTGTATCCTCTTCATTTCCTCCCAAAGGAGTTAGACCATTGTGGAAAAAGTTGAGTGATATTTGAATGTATTACAGGAATGCTTTTTATTATGCCTTAAAACCCACATGCAGCTGTTCATGCACTGTTACAATCTTTACAAACATCATACAGTGGTCAAAGTAAGCATGCGCATTTAAATACTGCAGTAAGTTTTACTTTGTCTTATCAGTTACAGATCTAGCCAAACAGGAAATACCTCCGTTCTTCTTACTCATCTTTAAAGTGTTTTGTACTCCTGACATATCAGCAAAAGAGTCTCTTACCTTGTAATTTAAACAACCTTTGAATGAGATGTATCCAGACTCATCAATGAAGAATTGAGTGTCTCTAACATTTGGAGACACAGATTTGATTTCACAGTGGAAGGTTGAGTTTAGTGTTTCGCTCTTGTCTATGTCAGTAGCATGCACTTTCAAAAGATTGGAGCCTGTCGGGAAATAATAACTCAAACTAAATATGACTCGGTGTATTCAATAATCAGCATGTAATTCAATTCAAAGGCAGAAGCATTTATGTAGGTTTTTTTTTTTTTTTTTTTTGTACCTTGTGTTGATTCCTGAGGAAGGTTAATCTCATACAGATCCCTCTCAAAGCGTGGTGGATTGTCATTGATGTCCTTTACAGAAATCAGAATTCCTAACCTGGTTTCAATTGATTCGTCCATTTTTCTGGCCTGAAGTCTTAGCTAGACATCAAAAGATATCAAAAAGAGTTACTCACAATATAAAGACAAACATGATTAAATACATGGACATTGGGGATGTAGTGTGAGAAATGATAAAACAGATATTTTTCAGTTCTGTGAGAAGAAGTTTAAAATGTTTCAAAGATGTTTTCAGCTTTTTTGCACATCAAAAGTATCAAATCAGGTAAAACCCCTCATGATTAAAAAATCATCTTTCCCCCCCACAGAACACATAAATAGTTTGAAATTCTGTGGCATCACTACATGTTGGTCTTTAGCATTTGTTGATTCTAACCTCAAGTGTTTGCCACTCCTCATAGTCCACGGCCTTGTGGACGTACAACACGCCAAACTCTTTGTCAATGGAGATGACTTCCGTCGGCTCCTCATCCACCCCTTGTCCTTGCAGTTCAAAGTATATTGGATATTTCCTGTCAATATTCACCTACAACACAACAGCAAATTTTTGTAAGGTCAAATTTTGGAGTTATGATTTGAATGCATCGCTGGTAAATTTTGACAATGAAAAGCATGATTAAATAAAATGATGTGCAGGTGTCACAGGAATGTGACTGTCAAGACAGCTTATCAGTTTACTGATAAGCTGTTTCATAGTAACAGTATTTTGTGCTAATTGCATTAAAATTAACGTACGCCCATAAACTAAATTCACTGTTCTATTTATGCCACAAAAAAAAAAAAGAAAATGAAGAATGTATAAAAGATGAAACTGTTTACAAAAAGGAATTTTTTTTAGTTGGTCATAACTGGAAACTGGAATAATTGGTCATGGTTTCTAGAAAGTGACATTGCTGCTGAGTTTCTCAAATATATTTTTTTCTGGAGCTTTTAATACAACAACACAAGTGCCATTTAGTCCTGTAGTGTTGTCCAAATTAAGACAATGTTGGATAACTCCTCCATACACTGTAAACACTGCAATAGTTATATCCTTCTTTTCTACTCTGTAATATTTCAGTCAACATTTTTGATATTATTTATAATCACCTTATCTATAATCAACCCACAAAATTTCCTCAGGGATTAATAAAGTATGCTGATTCTGATTATATTCAAGAAAATGTAAGCATCTGAACAGCCAATACAAAGAAAAGTGGCTCACACCAAAACATAAGTAGCACTAAAGGTAAAATTGGAAGCTTTCTCTGGTTGAATTTCTCACCTCGCCCAACTTATATGGGAAGGGGCCTCGATGGCCCTCCTCAATCTCAAAGGAGTCAATAATCCACGCTCTTCTGTGACGGCTCAGCAGCTCTGAAGTTGTTGCACTTGACAAACAATAAACCTGGAAGACAAAACAGGAATCGAGTTTAAAATATAAGTAATTTATGTGAGTGGAAAAATGAGCTTCCTTTGTGGCTGGTAAACTAGATCTGATAAGATGCACACACAAGAAATTCTGAAGAAATACACAAAAACACTTCAGACTGATTTTTAAAACTCATGAAAAACTTTAAATCAATTTTAAGAAATGTCAGAAAACATTATCAAAAGTATCTTTAGTTCCTTAAAAATAGTGTTTGGATAACATTTGTCACATGGCTACAAAAGCATTTTGACAAACGATGTACGATAGATGAAGACTTCCATTAGGTCTCACAAGATTCAACCAGATACCGGATTGTATCAAAAAAGAAAATGTAATACGTACCAATAGAAAGAAGCAGAGCATGATGTTCGTTCAGTACGTGCAGCTTAGTGAGGACTGACTTTTACCAAAGAAGAAAGACCCAGTCCTCTTCTTTCCACACCCACACAAATAACTACAAAATTTATTCTGCAGTGTGCGTGTATATACCTGTCTTTCCAGGGAACCCGCTTTTTGCCCTCATGTTTTGTTCTGGACACAATTTGAAACCACAAATTACACAAGTTTTGATTTCAAAGCTTCACCTCCTTAAACAAATGTAGTTGATCAGACTAAGATTCCACAACTTTGTCCACAAAGACAATAATCAATGATTCTGCTGGTAGTTTCCAGACCAGAGTCTGGTCGGAAATTTTCCAGGTCACTGTCTCACTCCAGAAATTTTACATGTTGTTGCAGGTGATTCGCTTTGACAACCATGATAAAGGAACAGGACGTCGTCAACAGAACAAATTGCCAGCCACTCATGTATATCCCACGTCCAAACGTCACAGTGGATGTGCATCTGGTGGCTTGTAGGGAACGCTGCCCTTTCAAATAGTAGATGCCTAGAAAGCACTGTGAATATGGCATAAACATATGGGCAACAATGTGATCCCAGGACAAGTTATGCCTGGAACATGTAGGCTTCTACTGAATCAAGTGAAGTTTGTGGTTCTGGAGATGATTGCAGGTCTCAGGGACATAAGAAAACTCATTTTTGATCAGGAACACAAAATTCTTTACATGAGATGAACACAACATGAGTGTTAATACATACAGATGTCTCTCTGGCAGAAAAGGGTTTGCTGCACAAAGCAGCAGTGATTGATGATGTTGTTGCTTTCTGCATTAAAGTTCTTTCGAGGCAAACTTCTCCTCCTCAGACTGTACACCGGTTCATAAACTGCTGTTTTGAAAAATGGAGTTCGGGAATTTTACCGTTGTCATCTTTGTTTTTTTAAAGCATGATACGCAGGAGTGCGTTCAACTGTGAGATCACTCTGTATGCATAGCGTGCTGGTATGCTATCACTTCTGAATCAAAAGTAACCATAAAAAATTAGCAGTGCTGTATCAAATATAAATTGTAAGTGCTGCAGAAAGCAGAAATGATTGGCGATGTCTTTGCTGCTTTTAAAGGAAACTTCTCCTCAGACTGTTCACGTGTTTATGAACTCCTTTTGAAAAAAACAAAGTTGAGCAATTTAACGGTTGCCATTTTTGTTTGTTTTTTTAAACCATGACGACCGAGGGTGCATCCAACTGTGAAACTAATCACTTTGCATGCTGACATGCAATCACTTCTGAATCACAAAGTAGCCACGCAAAAATAAATAGTGAAAACTTGAAAGTAGATGGTTGAGTTATTGTCTCCAACAGTTTTATCTGACTTTTATTTGTCTCCTGTTTACCATTAGAGATCATGCAGACTTGAGGACTTTTTGGACTGCCTTCACAGCTTATGCTAAATCCAACTATATATAGAGTAAATACTGTGCAAAATTCCTGAGCTAGCCCTTTGTTTTGTATATAAAATGGAAACTAGGTCTAGGGATTTATTTTAACATGTGCAAAATGGAAATACAACAACAATAAGTTTACAACGACTTCTGAATATTGCTCAGGAATAGTTCTCCAGGCTTCTTCAAGGATATTCAAAGCACTTCCTGCTGTTGGCTGTTTTTTGTCAAGATGATCCCAAACTGCTTCAGTAATGTTTAGGTAGAGGTATGGGATCACTGCCATCCTGGAAAATGAAGCTGCTGCCAATTAGACACTCTCCAGATGGTATTTCATGATATAGCAAAATCAAGATCCTCAACACCATTGGCTGAATGACAGAGCCTCCACACTTTAAGCCAAACATAGAACAAGTCCACGAGAGCTTATCTTTACATTTTTGCATGCTGTATTGCAGAGTTGGCAAAAGTACAGACATTCTGTACTTAAGAAGTACAAATACTACTTTTAAAAAATACTCCAGGAAAAGAGTAAGAGTAAGAAAATATAAAGTAGGGTCTATTTTTGTGCAAAGCTAACTAAACCTTGTGATATATTAACATAATGATAAAATAAGATCACAATTTCAATGTCACACGTTGTATAATGACTGCACCCACCTACAGCTCACTCTTTCTTCACTCCCACATGGCGCGGCAGCTGAGGTGAGGTTTTTTTTTTTTTTTTTGGGGGGGGGGGGGCTCCTGAGTTCGCTTATCATTTTAAGTTAATGAGTGACTTAAATCATACTTTGTTTCTTTTCAGAGTTAGTCCATGTGGCTCAAGAGTTGGGAGTTTGCCTTTAATCGGAAGGTTGCCGGTTCGAGCCCTGGCTCGGACAGTCTCGGTCGTTGTGTCCTTGGGCAAGACACTTCACCCGTTGCCTACTGGTGGTGGTCAGAGGGCCCGGTGGCGCCAGTGTCCGGCAGCCTCGCCTCTGTCAGTGCGCCCCAGGGTGGCTGTGGCTACAATGTAGCTTGCCATCACCAGTGTGTGAATGGGTGGATGACTGGATGTGTAAAGGCTTTGGGGTCCTTAGGGACTAGTAAAGCGCTATACAAATACAGGCCATTTACCAAGTGTGTCTTCAATACTGATTATTTGAATAAAATGAGAAACCTGTAAGCAATTCTCATTCTGACCGGATTTACCTATGATGGTAACAAGTTCCTGCTTCCTCTGAACCTCCTCCTCTTTAACACCACCTCTGCTGTAGTGCCATTTTTTTAGAAGCATTTCAAGCTGCTATATCCCCATTAAGTACAGTACATAGTAACTACACAAACTGCTAAAAAGTACAATAATCTACAAAGAAATTGAAAACATTTTTTACAAGTTTTTTTGCAGAAATTTCAGAGGTGTATGCCTCAAAACTGTAAATGCAAAAAAGTTGTGTTATCTTCATAATTTCATTTTTGAGATACACAAATTTTTAAAAACTGCAGTAAATGCAAAAATAGTTATTACTGTGCAAAAAGAAAAACAGCATGTGCATGAAAATAAATTATTGTCAAAACAGCAATCAAAGTTCTAAGTATCCCAGGAACTACACAGAAAGTCACAAAGCCAAACACGACTTTCAATACTACCACCTTTGAAAGGCCCTGGTTTTCGCAGGTAATGGCGAGACATATAGCAATCTGTGCTGACGTGATGATGTTTATTTCAATGTAGGAAGTGTTTCTGGATTATAATGTTTTTGTTGTTGTGTGTGCTTTTTATGCTTACAGTCTGGTTCTTGTGTAATCGGGCACTCCTCCTTTTCTAACCGTTTCCCTTTCTTAAGAATGGCTTCGTGACAGACACTCTTCCATTTAGACTATTTTGATGAGGCGTCGGTAAACAGAAGAAAACAAGAGGCAGATGCTTCTGTCAGGTCCTGTTTTAGATCTTTGTTGAATTTCTTTTCCTATTACTTAAGCAGTCAATCCCCAATACTCTAATTTTCTACAAAAACATAGGTTAGAAACAAAAACTTTGACTTTGTCTTCCTTTGAAACAAAACTATTGGACATCATAACTTGCCCAGAAGCAACAGGCACAACATTCAGGCATGCTGTCAAGGAAACACAACTGAACTGAACTTATTCAGTTCAAACATTTTCTTGTCAGTATTTGAATTTCAAAGTCATATTCCAAACAAACATCGAGAACACTGGCTGGTTCAGAAACAAAACACTCAGTCCTTGGCACAGCAACAGAAGTCCAAACTTGTCTGCGGCCAATTCTGAAACAATTCTCACAACTTCAGTTTGGTGGTGCAAGACACAGACACTGAACTCTTATAGGGAACTGCAGTTTAGTATCATCCCGCCCCCGCTTCAGGGATAGCTGACAGTTAGACATTGGGTTACTCAGTACAGTGAAGGTAGCGGAAGTCCCGGCTGTGAAGAGATGTGATTGGACAACACAGTGTCGACAATGAAAATGAATGGGCTGTTATGCACCGGCCCATTAATTCACCCATTAGCCCGAAAGTGCATCAGCCCACCAGACTAATGCCCAGGACAGCAGATTACCAGTCCAGAAACCTATACTGAAAAAGGGTTCGTTATTCAAAGCTTGTAAACACAGTGCTCTTTGGTGGCATCTGGTGGCCAAAAGTATTGTGGCGAGCTCAGACAAGGAGGAGACGGAGGT